ACAGACAGAGACTGCTGGCTAGACATAAAGATAGAGAGAGAGAGAAAAAAGCTGCCGAAGTGTATATTGAATTGCTCTAGTGGTTCCAACACAATGTGATGGGTGACATGATAATTAAAAAGGGAAAAGAAAAACAAATATATATTTATGATGAAGCATAACTATGTGAGTTTTCCTCTTTTTTTTTTGCAGTGTCGGGCTATTTTCATGTCATACATTGTCCAAAGAAATCTCCAGAACAAAATCTAGAATTATTGTATCATTGTTGGTCAAACTGATAAAACTGACATCAATAAAGGGGTCACAAGCCAGAAAGTCAGCAGCCACTTGATACGTCGATAGAGAGAAAATCAGTTTTGATAATTAGTTTAAGTATTCGGCCAATCATTAGCTGGCATCAGAGAGAGACTTCTCTCTAGTTTAAATCATTGAATTTATTTAGATTTTGAGCTGTTGGTTTGACAAAAGAAGGAATGATAAGAGGACACCTTGGGCTTTATTCAACCTTTTATGGTTAAAAAGCCTATAAGCTGCTTCAGATTTATATTTGATTAACAGTTTTAAATATGTTTTTGTTATTTTTCACTGTAAATGTAATATATTTGGGTTTTAAAGTGTTGGTCCTACACAACAAACTATTAACATACATCACATTTAATTCGGTGAAGTTGTGATGGTCATTTCTTTCTTTTTTCCTCACATTTTGGACACAAAAAGAAGAAAAATAATAAATGTTATTTATAATGCGCTTTTTCTTGGTGCTCAAAGCTTAACACAAAAAGGACGTGATCCAAACAGAGATGATGATCAATTAAGTTTAGTCGCAGCTATACATGAAAAGAAATACGACAAATCATAAATAAATCTCGTCTTGTAAGAAAGAGTAAGCAAAAATCGTGAAGACTTCTGCTAAAAATAAATCACAACCATGCCCCATACTATCACGTGTATCCCCTGCATCAGAGATACATTGGTGCTTTCCACCACTGTAACATAAACCAGTGTGTATACAGCCAGTGCAGAGGAAGACATGGGTGGAAGAGACCAACTGAATTATAGGATGTATCCTGAATAAAAAGGAAATGAATTAATTATAGGTATTATTATGTCGTTAAGGTCTGACTGAGGAGAATATTAGCCTGCTTGTTGAAGGTCCAACATAAGGCTGCTGGGGGGGACATGCACGTTCGACCATCTGCTTCAAAGCGGCAGGAGGGGAGCCCTGAATCCTTTTTCTCTCTCTGTCTCTCCGACTGCACCTTGCATAATATTACTGAGGTTTTCCAGACAGACAGCCTGCAGTGGTGGAGTCCACTTCACAGAGCAGGTGGAGAGGGAGGTGGAGGTGTGATGATGGATAGGGGATTGCACGGATCAATACGGGCATCATTAATATGCACATAAAAAGCTGCAGCTGGTGTTTCATGTCCTCTTTCTACACGCATGCCTTTCTCTCTGTCTGTCTGTCTGTCCTTCCCTTTGAATGTTCGGAGGGGATGTGTGTGCATGAATGGACATCAGACATGGAGACCCAGTGCTGTGTGCACACTGGGCTGCATGCAGGAGGAGCAGACTGGAAGCTCTTTGTCCAGCACACACTGGCCCTGCTTTGGATGGATCATAACACCAACTAATTACATTTATCCATTTGTGGGTGCTGCTGCCTCCATAATGCTATTGAGTGTCTCTTAGTGGGAACAAGCTCGGCAGCGTTCTCAAGACCCAGAAAGCTTCTCTGAGAGTCCGGTGCTTTTACCCAGCCCAGCCCTCCAGCACACGGATCACGAGCAATATAAATTGGACGGTTTTCAGGCAACTATGATACTGTTATAGCCTAGTACAACCACGTACAGTAGACCTCGTGTAATGGATGTCAATCAACGTGATCAACAAGTTATTCATAATCTGTGAGGAGGGCATCAACACCGATAAAGCCAATTACATTAACATTTATTTTATTCGGCACAGTTTGTCCCAAAAGTGTGTGAGTGACCACGCTCTGGTCGGATAGTTTTGATTGCTAATAATAAAACAAATTGTATTCATAAAACTTAACATCATCCACATTCCTTGAAAACACATGATAATGATGAGGTGAAAGCACCGGCAGTGCTGCGCCGAGCTCCGGAGCCGCTTACCTTCACCGGGCAGCGGCGGTCCTGGAGTCCGACTACAGAGCGAGGGAGGCCGGGGATGCTGCCGCCGCTGCTCCCTCTCCTCCTGGAGGGATGGTTGGATGGATGAAAATATGTTTTTTTTCCTCCTCTCCACCGATCTGATACCAAGCTTCTTCCTCACAGAACCGAGAAGATTCACAGCCAAGAGAGGGTGAGGCTGACGGGAGAAAAAGCAAGGCAACGTAATCCTGAATGGTAATGGCTGTCCGATTCCTCCTCCTCCTCTCCCCCTCTGTCTCTCTCCCCTTCTCCTCCCAACAACCCCCACCAACCCTCCACTCTCTCTCCCTCTCTCTCTCTCTCTCTCTCTCTCTCTCTCTCTCTCTCTCTCTCTCCCTCTCTCACACATACACACACTCTCTCTGTTCAATAGGCTATTGTTTTCACGGCTCTGACACTTAACCCATGTCTATTCAGAGTGTTAAATGTCGCGTAAATTGACATTTTGGTTCTACTCATGCGTCATGCGTGGCTCAGCTGCATGACGCCGACACACATACACGTTCTCTCAATTTTGGGCCGGATTGGGTAAATAAATAACGGCGTTCACATTGCCATGTTTGCAGCGCCTACTCATTCACGTATATTTCAGGATTAGGCATGAAGAATCCGCGCTGGAGTTGATGTGCTTTTTACATCACATGAGATCATTTTCGTGTTTTTTTTATAATCCCTCCCTCCACTGACTCACTCTCACCCCCCCCCTCTCTCGAACAGCTGGAGGAAAAAGGGAGTATCTTAAAAAAAAAAGCTAATTGATTACAGCTGGAGAGATGGAGCGTTGTATCTGTCTCCAGTTCGGGTGTTAGGGTCATGTTAGGACCACACCAACACAGGTTCTAACACTATTAATAGGCTTGTAATTTAGTGGGAAATTTAAGCTATCTTAAACAATCAACCACTCAAACCTTGTTCATAGTTGATTAAACATGGGGCCTGTCAACAGAGCTGGTGGAAACCAAACATGGAGCTAACATTGATAAGATTGATCAGATGGCCAAACACTCCAAAATGCTCACAAGAGAAGAAAATAAATTAAAGGCATGTTTTTTATTTGTTTTTCAAAGTGTGGTTGTATGAGCTACTCATGGTCAGTGTAAGATGACGGTCGGATGTCCCCAAAACATTCAAAATGAAACAATGACTATAGTTGTTGTCAATAGATTACACATGATTGTATTAGGTAAATTGAAATAAATCATATTAAGTTGAAATAAAAAATATAGTATATATGTATCTGTAGACAACATCCATTTAATTATAGTCAACGTACAGACCGGAGTTATGCGAGTGTACGATACGATACGATACACTTTATTGTCCCAGTAAGGACATTTGTTCTGGACTCCGTCCTGCAGTTCAGCATACATGTACATATACAAACATAGACATTAAGAGACATACACATATCATCAGTCATGCAACGTTTGAACAAACACAATACACAGACGCACATACTGACAATGGCGACCTATTGCACAACCCTCATGGCCAACATTTAAAAAGTACATTTCATTAAATTTGACTATACATTTAATTTCATGTGAACGTTAAGAAGCTTAATGGACATAGGTAGGAATGAGTGCTTATAGCGGTTCAGCCTGCTCTTGGGAACCCTGAATCTTCTACCAGAAGGTAGCTGGAATTCTGGGTGGAGTATGTGGGTGGGATCAGACACACTTTTTTTTGCCTGTCTGATAATGGACTGCTCGTATATGTTTTGGAGAGATGGGTGTTTTTTAACCCCCATAATTTTCATAGCAGTCTGTACCAGGCGAGCGATCTGTGACTTTGACTGCACTGTCAAGTTACCATACCAGGCAGTAATACCATACCTAATGATGCTCTCCAACACTGCATGATAGAACAGTAGCATGAACTCCTGGTCGACTCCGAAAGCCCGGAGTCTATGCAGAAAGTACAACCGCTGTTGAAGTGTAGAGCACAGACCATAGGCGCTTTCACACCGCAGTACTTTTCCCACAAAGGTTCATGAGAACTTAGTTCATCAGAACTCTTTAGTTCTGATGAACTAAATACAGATCGCATTCACACCGGAATAAGTCCCTGGGGGTGGATTAGGCAAATGAAGCCTGCTGACGTCACTTCTTCTTCTTCTGCTTTGGGTTTACTGGCAGGCCGCAAACAACTTCACGGCAAGTGACGTCAGCAGGCTTCATTTGCCTAATCCACCCCCAGGGACTTATTNTCTCGTCCTCTCAACCCCAACTGCATGCCCGCCTGCCTTTGCCATCTGAATCCATGATGTCATGTTAGGATTGGGCACAGAGGATCAATGAGTGCCCCCTAGTGGGACGTCACGCTCAATTATGTCTTTGTCTGAGAGGCGAGGGTTCAAACAGAGAGGAGGGGGTGTAATTGGAACGGCGCTGCCTGGAGTTCTGCAGTTTGTGTATCAGGCACTGATGTGGCAGCATGGTATGCGTGGCGATGTTTGATCAGTGTTTGTGCAAAAGCCCTTCAGCTGTTTATCTCGCACTGTGCTACTGTGTTGCTGTGTGTGTGTGTGTGTGTGTGTGTGTGTGTGTGTGTGTGTGTGTGTGTGTGTGTTGAGGGGTACTTGTGAGTAATCATCCCAGGAGCATCAAAGCCATGCATCCTCCCGCTCCAGTAGCCTGCAGATCTGCTGCTCTGAGAGACACTGCAGCCCATGCCTTGTTGTGCTCAGGAGAATCAAAACACACAGGAGGAGAGAGAGAAAGAGAAAGATAGAAAGAGAGAGAGAGAAACACCATGCAGGAACAGATTCATCAGGAAAAACCCACGACAGACAGATCAGGAAGAACGCAGCCCAGAGGAGGATCAAGAAGCAAGGAACTCTTTATTGTCGAGTGCAAATCTCTACATGATAGAAAAGGGAAGAGTTGTGCGTTGCTTCTCGATAACACAGAATTAGGTGATTAGCAGTTCACTTCTCTAAGGTCTCTATTATATTTCTATACTCTTCAACTGAACCTCCTGGATCTATATTTCTTAAATCTTTGATCTGATATATTGTATGTAGCTGTGGAAGGATAAAAGCAATGTGGCAGAAAAGCTCTCAAGATGTGGGGAAAACAAGGAGTGGAGCGTATGGGCATTGATTAACGTCCCTTTTCTCTCATAAAACAACTCATTTGAAGAACTTAATTGGATATCTGGTTAATTATAAGGTATTTTTCACAATTGTTGTATCCAAATTATCAAAAATAATGACATAAATTAGGAAAATAATCATCCTAATTTAAATATCCCCACTGTACAGCCCCTTGTTCACACTAATATCCCACGTAAAGTTGTCCACTCCTTGCTCATATTTATTATTATTATCTCTTATTGCGTTTCAGCCCTGTTGCTTCAACCTGTCCTGTATATTTATGATGCATAAAACAGCACAGCATAGGCCACTTAAAAGTACTCACATATGAGTATATATATTATTCTCTTCCCAACTTTAATCGTAGCAATGTAAATACCAACCACTGTCAAACGATAAAAAATAACCTTGTAATCTGTACAAGAAGAAAAGGCGGCATTAATGAGTTGGTTAATTCAAATATAAAATGGTGTAAACATGTTTTATGCTGGTGGAGTAGAGAAAATAAAATATGCTTTATGGTTATATGCACTGGAAATAGATGGCAGAGAGCTACAGACTATGTATTGCTCACTGTTACACGGACAATTGTACTCAATGATTAATGGGAAATGTAGTCGGATGACTGGCAGAAATCACTGTTAGCCATAAAAACAATCTGTTATGTCTCGTGTTATCTCAATGGAAGACTTTGACATTTTGGATTATCACCTTTTCACCCAGGCATTGTTAGCATTGTTAGCATTGTTAGCATGTTAGCATTCCATACTGAAACTAGATTTAGTTTAAATGTCAAAGTATTCCTCTATTGGTTAAAACCAGCACATCTTCCTAACTGAACTCTGCTCTTACACAGAAACCTTAAAGCTAGCACATTGCATCGTTTCTATGATTCTGAAGTGCTTTGAAACAAACCACGGTTAATTAAAAACGATGATTAAGGAGGTACATTTGGGACAAAGGCAAAAAACATCATCGGCAAAACAAGGCACTTGGATTTCATTCGAAGAAAAGAAAGCAGGGAGGTGTAATCATGATTTGTGCCACTAGCAACGCCCTTTCCCTTCATTTCATCAACCTGATTATTTCCCCCCACTCTTCTATATGCTCTATATACCAAATCTCTACAAAATATAACTGTACAACTGTATACTGAAAATATCCCTCAGTAAATAAATAAAAGTGTGCACGGTATGTAGATGTACATACATGGGCTCTTCTCTCTACTTTCTGGTGAGTAAAACAGAGGCAGTGCGATGCCTTCCTTATATCTTAGTGGATTTACATTCAGAATTGTGTCAGTGAGGTCCCACCGTGGGGCGGTAGGGCAACCCCTGAACCTTTTAAAAAAATAAAAAGGGAGCGACAGTCCCAGTCCCGAAACTAGCCAAATATTCCCGTCAAATCCCCGTGTGCTCATTTGTCTCCCATTGTTCTTAAAGCATTCACCAAGCTAGCTAGCCAGCCTGCCCTTTAGCGCGTTAGTGCTAACAACCATTGGTTACACAGAGCAGCAGAGAGGGCTAGCGTGTTAGCATTCCCAGCTAGGTTGTTATGTGCCAGGGGGCTGGAGAGTGTAGCAGCAGTGGTGGTGGAGGTGGAGCTCCCTGTGTCTGCTGCTGCTGCTGCGCGGGGGGTAACGTACGGAGGCCGGGGGGTCCGAGGTGTTGGTGGGCAGCCTGGAGGAGGAGGATGAGCGTTGGGCGGTGGAGGAGGGGGAGCGCTCCTGGCTCAGGTTCCTCTTGCGCTCGCGAACTAGCGCCTTCTGGTGGCGCTTCATCCGCTCCAGCTGCTCCTCCGCCGTCATGCGGCCCCGAGGCTGAGCGCCCGACAGCTGCAGGACGTCCGGAGGAGACGACAGGAGCTCCAAGGCACTCTTAGGTCTCTCCTGGTTGGAGGGGGGGAGAAGGAACAATACAGGGAGGGTTGAAACAAGGTCGAAGAGGGAAGGGAGAGAGGGGATGGATGTTTGGTGGGGTTGGTTCAAGAGGAATGGAACAATTTAGATGATGAGAGAAGATGAAAGCGGGCAGGAAGTACAAAGATGGAGGAACAGTGACATCGTTTAGTGAACAAAGAATGAGAGAAACAGGAAATGGCAATAATGAATGTGACAGATTTAATACCGCTGAGAAAGTTTGCTAAATTTGGCTGGTTAGAAGGATACAAGTTATGTCACAAATGTCCACAACCGGCATATCAATTGCTACTTTTATCTAAAAAGTATAATGCATATATTAAAAAGAAAGTGTCTGTTGTCTTTGAACAGGCTTGTATACTGCACATGTTGATTCATCAAATGCTTTATAGCTAAACTTAACTGTGATTCGTTCATGTCTACTAGTGGTGCTCACCCTTAGAGCGCTAAGTCAGTCAGATCCTTTAAGTGTAGGATAACAATGTTCAACACATCTGGCTTTTACAAATTGAGATTACTCCGGGTGATCACACATATCTGCAGATGTTCCTCCTGTACTCACCCTGGCTGCAGAGCCCCCAGGACCCCTCCTCAGGGTGACGTAGGACGCAATATGGTTGGACTGGTTCAGGCGAGATGAGGGGCCTGACAGACCTAGTTCATGAAAAACAAGACAGGAAGTAGCACAGCTTAGTTCCGTTTGCTAAGTAAAGAAATGATTAAGGTAAAACAATGAAAACACAGCGAGGAAATGCTAAATTAAGACCCTCACAAGAGAAGAAAATTGAAATTCCACCAAAGCCAGGTGCAATATCTACAGTAGCAATGAAAGTGTAAAATAATCTGCCCTGTGATACGGATCCACTTCAAAATGTTGGTTTTAGTCTTGGCCCATCCTACATCCTTCCAACAAGGGTTAGGGTTAACTAGTGTTATAGTCATCCTATTCTTCATTACCTCCTTTCCAGAGGTCGTAGTCTAATGGTGATACAAACAAGTGATTATTTGCACTGGTAATACAAAAATATTTCAAAAGTTATGAAAAATTAAAATTAGGATTAAAATGAAATAAATAAATTCCTTAAACGTGGGGCCTGCTGACCGCTGTTCTTTACGCTTGGTCCTAATGGTCACCCGAGTCTACAGGGAAAGCACTTTGGAGTGCATATTCCTGTCTCTCACTTCTTACTTTTCACCTTGTTTCCAACTGTTTCAGGAGAGTGCATTTACGTAGTCACGTTGTGCCTCTTCACTTTTACACTCCAGGGGTCAGAGTTCATATGGTGGGGGAATTCCATTGGCGGTATGCGCCGGCCTGTGCCTTTACCTTGGACTTCTGGTAGAACTGCTCGGGTCTTGATAGATTGAGTGGGGAAGTTCATGAGATCTTTCACATGTCTGTGAAGTTTTTTTTTCAAAATACCAAACAGATCATGCATTTTAGCCATGCCTAATTTCGCTCTATTTGCTCTATTCCAGCCCTGTCTTCACAAGGGCAGATTCTGTGGCAAATGAG